AGAGTGAGGTCACCAGGCTAAGGCTGAACCACTGGGAGGTGGCTCAACTAAACTTTAAACTGGGGGCTTCAGAGTGGTATCCAGAACCTCAGCTGGCCACTGAACAGTACTGTCTGCCCAGGGGGTCTTAGGTGCCTGGCAACGGCCAGAACAAACCCACTGAGCAGTCCTCGCTTCAGCAGCACATATGCAAACCCACTGGGCAGAGAACAGCTCTGGGATCCCACTGCCCAGCTAAAATCTGACACCCCCAAACTGTCAGAATTTTCCCAGGCTGCTCTGCTCACCCCAAGTCCCTAACCTGGCACTCAGGAGGGCTCAGTAAATTTTTCTGAAATTAATTAAGTCGAAAATGAGCGGCCACAGGAGCATAAATAATGACGTTGCCCCACGTTGTGAGCTCTTAGGGTTGGTCAGGCCCATACCAGGGGCTGTACACACTCATCTTGATATCTCCTTGCCTGGGAAATGCCTGTCCATCACCTGCTGGACCAGAAAACATGGGGCCACCCTTGGGAGCTGAGAAGAGCCTAGACCTTGGATTGCAGAGATGGGGAGGGGGAGGAGGAAGAAGAAGAAGACTTTGCTCCTGGGCAGGGGGCTGGACTCCTCATGCCCTGTTGTGGAGACGTCTGCAGCCCTGCAGCCCTCACCGGTGGGAGCTCTATGGGCTGGTGTGTTCAGGGAGGAACTGAGGCTGGTCTGGGGATGATCCCTGGCTCTCCTCTCTCAGCCTCAGGGTCCAGGGCAGTGATTTGATCCCCTAACTGCAGAGACTTTTCTGGAAAGTATTCTACATGAAGGGCTGAGGGAGACATGCTAGGGAGCCTTGGAATTCATCTGGCAGGCATTGGGGGAGGGGGTGGCCTTTGAGAAGACTGGGGTCCTTCGGCCCATGACTACATTTTAAGGTGGGGGGTCGGGGGAGGGCTCTGGGTAGCCTTTAGCCCAGGTCATGTTGGGCAGGGAGAGAGTCTGGGCCATGCATGGTGCAGGGAAGGGTCCTTAGGTCTGGGGAGGTAGCCTGTGAACATGACAGTTGTGCATACAGGAGGCCACAGGGGCTGTGTTGGGAAGGGGAGGATGACAAACAGGCACAACAGTGCCAGCTTCATCACCCAGCCATGCAGGAGCCCCCACACCCAGAGGGGCCCTTCCTCGAGTCTGGCTGGGGGCATTGGAACTTCAGGTGTGGAAGGTTTTTTTTTTTTTTTTTTTTTACCTCCTGACACTGATTGGGTCACCTCATATCAACCCAAGAGAAGATACAAGCCCCCAGTCCTTAAGAGAGAAGCACCAGACTGCCCCCTGAACCAGCAGAGACTAGCCTTGGGAAGCCTTCTCCAGAAAAATTGCCATCTTTGGAAGAGCCCTGGTGGTTGTGTGTGGGGAGAGGGGCAGCAGTTGGCCAACCCCACATTGAGCTGGTCCAGCCCCTTGGGGGACAGTGCAGGCATATGACAAAAATATTGACAATAAAAAACCTGACCTAAAAACCCTGGAGAGTAGCCCTGCTGAGCTCTGGGTGTGCCCCAGACACGCCTAAACAAGGCTTCCCTGCCGCTCTCCCATTTCATTTAAATCTCAAGACCCTCTGAGGTTTGCACAATTGCTCATCCCTCTTTCACAGACGAAGAGCCAAGACCTGGAGGGGTTGAAGTCCGGGCTCAGAGTTGCAGAACATCAATAATCCTAAAGGCTCATGTGCACACACTCAGAGGGGCCACGGCACTTTTCCAGGGCACGTCCCGTGGCACACGAGCACACTCCGTGCAAGGGCATCCGCGATGGCAGAACCCTGAATGGGGTGGGGTGGGTGGGTGGGTGAGAGGAATCACTGGGTAACCTGAAATGTCCGTCAGTCAGGTTCACGCACAGGACAGGACCTCAATGAGGTGGACGTGGAATCTGGTGCGGAAAGCAGTCCAAGCCCATAGCTGGTAGTTGCAGTCAGCACAGATGGAACCCATTTATGTGTGTATGTGTTATAGATACAACACCCAGGCTGCCACCGAGGGCTGCTGGGACACCTTCCTACATGTGTGCTGGAGGGCACCCAGCCCAAGCCCAAGGGCATTACCTCCTGGCACCTCAGCATGCCTGCCCACACAAGGACCACTCACAGGGGATGCGTCTGCTCGCTCTCTCTCTTTGGGCCCAGGTCCAGGGTGCCGAGTCCTGGCTGGGGCTGGAAGACTGGCTCAGACGGTGGGGGCTGTGGCTTTGCCCCTCTTCAGCAGCTCCCTGCCCCCTCTCTTCCTCTCCTTCTCTGCTTCTCTCTTGCTGGCTCCCACTGCCCTCTCATCCTTGAGAGGTTCTGAGCTCTCTTCGGTGGCAACTGCCACACAAGTGACACGTCATGCTGCCTCAGTCACACACAGCCCTGCCTCCCAGGCCGGAGTCCCACACTGCCGCCGGGTGTCCGTCTCAGGTCAGGCTGGCCCGTGCTGGCTGTAGCCTCACTCATGCTGCACCTCCAGCCTGGCTGACCGTGATGTCCCCATCTACCTGTGGCAGCCCTGGGAGGCCCAGTGGAGTTAGTTGTCAGAGCATAGAGGCTTCCGGGGTGGTGGCAGTTCCCAGGGCGGGCATGGAGGATGCAGAGGGTGTGAAGGTGGAGGTGTGAAATGGAAGAGGCGGTGAAGCAGGGGCAGAGCTGTGCCCTTGCAGATGGACCCTCCTGGAACAGGTCGTGGCCCCCTGTGCTTCTCCATCTCTGCCCCTAGCCCAATGCCTGCCTGGCTGTTCCCTGCGGCCCCAGAACACAGAGGTAGCTTTCTTAAGCTACACAGACTTTCTGTGGTCTTGGGCCAGTGAGGGCACCACACCAGGCTCAGTTTCCCCATCTGTTAAATGGGGCAAGGTGATGATGGACTAAGAAGGCACAGACCCTGGAGATGCCCACCAGGACCCGGGGAGACAACTCCCAACAATCACAGGCTTATCCAGAGCCAGACGCTTCCCATCGCTGTCTCCACCTCCTTCATTTAAGTCCTATCGCTCCCCTCAGCTGACATGGAAACCGACACGCCCAAGGCCACCCAGCCACAGCATGCTGGTGCCAGGGTTTGAACCACTTACCTCTCTCAGGCCGCCCGTAGTGTGAGTGGAGCAAGAGGCTGCCAGACACTGGCCCAGGATTGGGGCTGTCTGAGCCCTGTGCTGGCCCTACGTCCACCTGCATGGCCGTCCACCCCATCCTGCTCAGAGCTATTCCGTGCAGGTTATTTCTATTTCGACAAGGGGCCGGGAAATCATCAACCTCCCACCGAGCCTGCTGAGAACTGGCTACGAATCCAGCCCCTCCCTGTCCGTCCTAGCAGCAGCCCCCGAGGCCTGAGGCCCAGTCCCCCAGGTGCATCCTCTCTGTGCCTTTCCCAGGTGTGTTGTCCTCCTGCTCCCTTCCTGTGACAGAAGCTTGTCACCTCCTTCCAAGCCCTCCTCCTAGAAGCTCTTCCGGAGAGCATCTTTCCCATACCCAAAACTCCCCTACCAGGTGTACAGGGGCCTCTCCGGTGCCTGGTGCCAAGCCTGGTGGGGCTCCAGACTGTGACTGGCCAAGAGACCAGAGAGGATGCCCCGCCGGGAGAAGAACAGAGGGACAGAGGTAGGTGGCTGCTGTGCACCTTCCCTGAGCCTAACTCAGAACACTTACCCGGCAGGGCTTTGGGAAGAGAAGACGAGGTGGGCCCTTGGCTTGGGGTCTCCGGCTCCAGCAGGTGGCCCAGGAGGAGGTCCCCAGTGTTGGCTGTTTCTCCCTTTGCTGAGGGGCATGGCGGGTTGTCCCTTCCTGCTCCATGACCTCTCTGGGGGCATGGCCAGCTCCCATGTGCAGGCCAGAGAGTTGACTGTCCTGGGCTGAATGTGGGGGGTGAAGCAGGGACTGCAGTGGTGGCCCAGGGGCAGCCGGGGTCGGGACAAGGCCCCGTCCCTGGCCTCCTGGGGTCTCCTTGCCTCCTCCTGAGCTGTGATTGTGCCTGTCTGTCCCTGGCCAGGCTGAGCTATGCTAATGAGCAATGAGGATGAGGGTCTTCTGACAGCAGGGACTGGGGGCTCAGGGGGATCGTCTGCTAAGACTAGACCCAGGACCTCAGCTCCCGCCCACACTGCCTCCCTCCCTGGCAGTGTGAGAGGTTGCCTGGGACCAGCCCCACTCTGGACTCTCAACAAGCTAGTCTAGCACCGGCCCTTGCCTCCTCCCTGTTCCTGTAGACTGGACAGGCCCCATGCCCCTGCCCCCACCCTATTCCTGCCCTCAGCCTGTGGCTGCAACAGACTGCCCCCTCCAGCCCTCACTTCCTCACATCCCGACTCCCATCATTCTCTGAGAATAGGGTGTGTCTCAGCCTCATTGAGCCTCAGTTTCTTCATCTGTAAGATGAGGAGAATGATGCCCATCTCATGGGATTTTTGTGACGATGAAGTGAGATCAAGCGTACATAATGCGTGGTGCAGGGCCCATGTGAGGCAAAGCCACACTCAATGGGAGTGTTCTTGTGATCACGCCAGGCCCTACGCGGCCCGTGGAAAACTCAGAGGTATTGGTCTGACATTCCCCATTTTCCCAATGAGGAATCTGGGGCTTTGCCAGGTTAGCAACATGCCTGAGGTCACCCAGCTGCAGGTGGCAGAGCTGGGGCTCAAATCCAGGCTGTCCTGCACCTGCAGCCACAACTCCATTCCCATGACCTGCTCAGCCCACACATGGAGTGCATCTGTGGTCCTCAGCAGAGGGCAGCCTAGTTTTCACAGGGTTTCCGGTGCCTCATCCCAAAGCGTCTGAACCCACAGGACACGAAGCACATCGCATGGCTCCGTGCAGCCCTCCAGAGTGGGCTCTGAACCCAGCTGGGTATGCCGGGCTCTGCAGGAGCCCCCTTGGCCCCCAGCGCCCCTCTCCCAGGGGAGGCAGGGGTGGGAGGCTGCAACTGTACGCTCTCCCCTTCTCCCCACACAGGGATCCCTGAGGTCGGGGCGATGCTGCAGCAGCACGTGCCGTGCCAGGAAGTGCGCCAGACCTGGCCTGGAGCCGGGGAGGTGCCGGGCAAGTGGACGCTGCAGCTCCACTTTGGAATTCCAGGCACATCCAGAGGCTGTGGGGTTGAAGCCAAGCTGCACAGCCGAAAGAGGCCAGAGTGGACACCCCCCGGCACCTGCTGCGGCACTGGCAGTAGGGTGGGTGCTGTGGGTGCCTAAGGGATCCCCGCCTGGCCTTTACCCCTGTTCTCATGCCTCCCAGGGCTCCCTGCCCCCTGCCTGCAGGATCACAGCTCCACAGCTCAGTTCTGTGGCTCAGTGCCTCAGCCTTCAGGTAAGCCTCCCTTCGGTCGCCCAAAAGATGGGGAAGATAATCCCTCCCCATGACAGCGCAGTGGGGTGGTAGGTGCCTGGAACAGAGCCTGGCACACAGGAAGCTGAATCCATTAGTTTCCTCTTCCGTGACTCAGTTGGCCTGTGAGGTCTGGGAGCGGGCTTGAACTATCTGGTGTAGCCCATGGTGCTGGTGGATCAATCACCTAATCACTGGGTTGTACTCCTCGTCCAGCAGCTGGTATTTCTGTCTCATGGACCCACACAGAGCACCCAGGCCAGAAGCTCCACTCCTCTTGTGGGGAAAACAGAGTTTGTAGGTAGCATGGCCTGGAGACAAGGGAGGGACAGATGACCTTCTGAGGGCCTGTCCTGCCCTAACCTTCTCAGGGCCTAGACAGGTAGGCCAAGCAGTGGGCTAATGCCATGTTGAGGCTGGGGCATGGCCCAAGAGGGGGAACATGAGGGCACATCCCTGTGACCATTAAATGGGTCCCTGTGGGATGTGCTGTCAAAGTGCCCACCAGCCCCTCCTAGAAAAGGCCATCAGCCTCGCACCTTCCCAGAAACTCTCATAATTAATCAGGGAGTAGCAAAACAGCTCTGTGGAGAGCAGAGTCCACTCCCACCACAGCCCTAATCAAGACCCGCAGGCAGGGTACAGTCCCCCAGTGACCTCCAGGGGACAGAGGAGCAATAGGGGATAGGACTCAGTGTGAAGTCTGAACAGGCTTCCTAGAGGAGGGGAGCTCTGAAAGTCTCGTGACTGGGGAGAGAGAAGGCTTGAGTCCTAGAGAGAGAGAGGGAGGACAGAGAAGGGCTGTGGATGTGGGACACAGGTCCAAGCAGTGGTAGTATGTGGGCAGGACAAGAGCACCACTTCTTGTGGGAGGGAACAGTCCACTCGGGGGACTCTGGACACCAGCTTCTGGGACTGATGTGAGCCAATGGTGGGTGGCTTCAAGGGTCACAGACCCAGGTCCTGGTTCTAGACATGGTGCCCTGACACCCTCCACCATACCGGGGGCTGCTTCTGGAAGGACGGTTTTCTTCCCACAGCTTGCAGAGCTGCCTTGTCTGGCCCACCTCTAGCCCCAGAGAGGGCCTGGTCTGCTGAGTCCCCCAAAGGCTTCTAGACCCACAGGGCCCCCAGCTGGAGGGCACTGGAAGGACAATCCTGGGAATAAAGGGGGGATCCTGCTTCATTGGTAGAGGGCATCTGGAACCCATCAGAAGACACAGAAGTCGGGTCCCTGAAGGAGTCTGTGATCGATTAGCCATGTCCGCCAAAGGTGGACCATGGACCAGATGAGGTTGGATGGCTGTGTGTTTGCAGCCCTTCACGTGCAGATGGAGAAACTGAGGTCCAAAGAGTAACTCTCCTAAGACCACAGAGCAAATTAGAAGCTAACTGCTTCTACTTTCCTTCAAGTGGTGATTTTCTTAGGGCAGATTCCCAGGAACAGAACTACTGGGTTAAAGGTAATGTGTATTTTTAGGTAGGCCTCTTAACTCAAGTTGCCAAGTGGCCTCCGAAAGTATCTCCGGTCCCATGCCTCTGGTGGGCTGTGAGGCAGTTACGAGGGGGAGAGACCACCTCATCCCCACACTGGAGGCTCATTTGTACCTGTGGCCTGGGATAAAGCCCCTGGGCTCCCTGCCCTGGTGGCAGGACTCGCCTGCACGGACATCAAGGCCCATAGCCTCACCCAGCCCCTTCCTTCCGTGGGGCGTAGCAGTGTTCAAGCCAGCTGTGCCCTCACGGGGTCTCACGGGGGACCCTGCAGATAGATGAGTTTTCCCAGCACTGGTGGGCAGGGTGGTGGGCACAGTGAAGGCATTTAACTTGGTCAGGGGCCAGGGCAACTTCCTGAAAGAGGCCATGCCAGCTCAAGCAGGAGGCAGCTGGCTGGAGATAGAAGGGAGATTCACAGCAGCTAGGCCTTGGGTTTATTTTGTCCCCAAGCCTCTCTGGGGCTGGGCCTGACCCCAGGACGAAGGCCCCCCACCTGAGTTCCATCTCTCCTGCCCAGACAAGGGCTGGGGCTTGGGTGGCCCCTCCTCCACACCCCAGGGGACTGAACTTCCCCGGACCTCAGCTTCCACTCATATAGTAAAACGGGAACCTGGTGGAGGAGTTTGGAGAACTCATGTGAAGCCTCCAGCTCTGAGCAAGAGTCTCTGCAGGCCCCAGACACCCAGGGAGCAGAAGGCTCCTGGGAGCAGGTGGCAGAGCCCACACACCACTGGCTGAGGCCCCAGGACGACCCCCAACCAGAGTTCAGACTCAGACCACCTGAGCATGCAGAGTCCTGCTGTCAGACGAGAGATCTCTGAGACTACCTTCTCTGAGAGCTTCACCCCTGCCCCTGTCTCTGCCCTCTGAGGCCCCGGGCATAGGGTGGAGTGGCCCAGCACCCTGCCCGCCCACTCACCTGCAGGGTCACCACACTGTGTCCCCCACTTTCAAGGCAGCATTTCCACCCCCCCAGTCCTCCAGAGTGTGACTGCCTGGACAGCAACTGAAGGTGTGTCCGAGGGGAATGCACCCCGGCCCAGGTCCAGCGGGCACCGAAGGGTGTTCTGGAGCTCCTACAGCCCGCCCCCAGCAGCCACACCCAATGACAGCTGCACCTGTCCTCCCTGGGCCTGGTGGCTCAGACAAGTTACTCCCACACCTGAGGAGCCCGGTATCTTTATTATCTCCATTTCAGTGAGGCTCGGAGACAGGAAGGTTCACACAGCTGACCCCCTCTGAAGGCGGGACTACAAGCCCGTCTGAATGCAAAGCCAGATGCAACTGTGCCACACGGCCCACCCCACTGGGACACGCAGGACCTGTATGACACCTTCCTGGCTTGGCTGTTTCCAGAGCCTTTGTTGATCAGAGCCCTCTGATCCTGACCACAGCCCCTGAGAAGCAGGGGGACTCCCTCAGGACTGGCAGCTGAGGCCCAGAGAGGGCAGGGCTGGCCCTGGGTCACAATAGCTTGGAGCTGCTCACTGAGCCCAGGGTGCAGTGGGCTGTACCCCTACACAGAGAGAGGCTCCCACGAGTCCCGGGCTGAGGGAAGGTGCTGTCAGAATATTTTGTGTCCTCCTCAGAGGAACATTTCATGAGAGAATGGAGGCTGAGGACAGAGTCGGGTTCTACCCTGGAATCCTTGAGGCAGATGGGGCAACCATCTGGGGTCCCATTGGCTAATAGATGCTGTTGGGTTTGGCCTAGCAGGTGTTACATAAGAACTCAGAGGGTCTGAACTGGGAACAGATCCTTGATGAGTCCAGCTGGGGTGCAGTGGGCAGAGTGAGGTCCAGAGAGGGCAGGGACATAGCTGCAGGCCCATGGACCTTCAGAGGCAGAGCTAGAGCCAGAATCCAGAGCCATAGCCTCCTGGCCCTGCTGAGGAACACCCAGGCCAACTCTCTCTCCCTCAGACCTCAGCAGCCCCCTCTGCTTAGTACAGGCCCAGCTCAGGCAGGTGCTGACCACTGTTGGGACCCAAGACTGGGGTAGAGGCTGGAGACTGGGGACTGTGTCGGAACCGTGGTCCTGCCTGGATCTGAAAATTACCTGAAGCCCCATCCCCGTGACACCTACTTCACCCTGATGACAGCTACAACAGATTGTTCTGGGATCCTACTGGGGACAGCCCTCAGCGTCAGAGGGCCAGGTCCCCACTTCTGTCCCCGGGTACCTCGAGGCAGCCTCAACCTCTCTGTTCCCTTAAGGTGAACAGTTCAGGGGCTCCCTTGGAATTGAAGGAGCCAAGCTGCGCTCAGAACCCAAGTCTTGGCCTTTTGCAGCTGGAGTTACAGCGGGGGTTCAGTTCTCAACCCCCTCCCAGGTCCCGGGCTTGAGTAGGTGGGGAGAGGCCTGAGGCACCAGGGATTCTGAGAAGGGTAGCTGCGACAGAAGGGGCCCTTGGCCAGGTTTGGGTGGGAGAGCACCCACCTCTACTCCCAGGCTGCCTGATGTGACCCAGGCTGAACCCAGCACCCTGTAACCAGGGCAGCAGCCCCACCCCCACCACATGCTCCTGGGAGCCCAGAAGAAGGGGTGCCAGGGCAGGCAGGCTCCAGGGAGGGCCGGGCCGGGCATTTCCTGCCGACGGGTGCCAGGCTCCCCTGAAGGGGTGATTCTTTAGCCTTAGTCAGAGGAAGTGAGGCAGGGCAAATGCGCAATGTGTGTGCAGTACCGCGGGGCCTGGCAGGGCTGGGTTGGGAGGACGGCAGCTGTAGGAGCCAGGGAGTGTCCCTGGCCCTGCATATCCCCTACAGCCATACACATCATGGTCTGCCCTCAACAGCCAGCCTACTGCCCAGCACCCAGGCAGGTTGCCGGAGACCAGGGCCAAGCCCCTGACTCCAGCTCCCTCTTACCCAGCTGCTGAGTCTCTGCTCTGTTGCTGTGTGGCTTAGACCGGTCACGTCCACCCTCTGAGCCTTGGCGTTCTCATCTGTGAAGTGGGAAAATTGTGGAACCCATATGCTCCTGGCTTTCCCCTGCCCCAACATCAGGGGCCCACCCTCCCAGTTTGGCCCACTCTCAGGATCCTGGGGAAAGAGGCCACCAGGGTAGTCTCTGCCCTCCTTGAGCAGAGGGGCAATCCAGGCTCAGAATGCAGGGCCCTCTCGAGAACTGCCCGCTTGAACAGCTTATGTGGTGCAGGCATGCCCAGTGGTGATACCCCAGCTCTTGGTCTTGGCCAGGCTGTCTGCATCCCCACCATTGGCTGGGCCCAGACAACTGAGCCTCCTTGCCCTTCACAGGGTGGTGATTTATCAACACTATGGCTGCCTGCAGGCTTGGGCTGTGGGCACCTGTCACAGGGCTGCTCCCCAACCACAGCCCCTGCTTCTGAGTGTACCTTGGACCCCTGATGTCTGGATTCTCAGGATTTTTTCCATGACTCAGCTCTGACTACAGTGGATAGGAGAGGCAGTTTCTATCTTGATCCCTGGTCTGGGACCTCTTCCCCAAAGTCCCACCCACCCCTC